GCACGCATTTGGTGGAGCTCAGCGCTGTTAAGCTCTGCTTGCTCCACCCACAGATCCAGGTCCAGCTGCTGGTCGCTTGGAAAGAGGAAGGCCCTGGAGAAAGCAAGCGAGAGGAGTGAAGCCATGCAAAGGGTGGGTCAGTCAGAGAGACAGGCAGACAGAGGGGCTTCACCACACCTCCTGCATCTTGCACCCCCATTTCATAAGCTGGCCCAGGTTCTGGCGAGCAAATGTAGCTAGGTGGGTGCTCCTTTCGTAACTGTCCCCAAACCTAGAAACAGCCAGCAGGGGTTCACACCTGTAGGACTAGCACTTGGGTGAATGGTCAGGAAGATGGCTGAAAGCCAACGTCAATTTGGGCTGCATAGTGAGTTCCAGACTAGTCTGGGTTGAAGAATGAGAATGGCTCCTTGTATGTTTGAGAGCTTGATCCCCTGTTAGTGGAACTGTTTGGGAAGGATTAAGAGGTATAGCCATGTTGGAGGAGGTGTGTCACTGGTGGTGGGCTTGGAGGTTTCAAAAGCCCTTGCCAGGCCCAGCCTCACTCTTTCCCTGCCTGCTGCCTTTAGGTCAGGGTGTGAGCTCTTAGCTACTTCTCCAGCACCATGCCAGTCTGCTCCCTGCCATAATGATCACGGACTAACTCTCTAAAATTGTAAGCAAGCACCCAATTAAATGCTTCTTTTTATAATAGTTGTTTTGGACATGGTGCTTCATCACAGCAAAAGAATGGTGACTAAGACACTGTCTTTAAACAAGCAAACAAACAAACACTAACTAGAGACAGGAGCAGAGCCAGAATGAGTAAAGAAAAATGAAGACTGGGACGCTCATTTTGGGAACCAGGAGCCAAGGAATTTACTTGTATAGGTGAGCCACTGAGGGCTGGCCACTGGTCCTTCTTCCATAAGTGCTGTGGAACAATCTTTTTGTGCTCTGTGAATATTTGTTGTTCTCATTGGTTTAATAAAGGGCTAAATGGCCAATAGCTAGGCAGGTAGAGGTTAGGTGGGACTCGTGGACAAAAAGAGAGAGTGAAAAGAGAGCACGGGGAAGAAGGGTGGAGTCATGGGGAGCCAGATGCATAGGAAGCAGGAGATGAACATGCCATACTGATAAAAGGTACTGCCACTCGTTAGTGCATAGATAAGGAATATGGGTTAATTTAAGCTGTAAGAGCTAGTTAGTAACAAGCCTGAAGTATCAGCCAAGCATTTATAATATAATAATAAGTCTCTTTGTGGCTATCTGGGGAGCCAGCTGGTGGAACAGGGACAGAAAACCTCTGCCTACACATAAGCCCTGGCCACCCCAGCATGGGCATGAGCCTGAGGAGGAAGGTTCTGACTGCAGGTGAGTGCTGCTTCTGTGCTTTTATTTGGGGGATGCTGACCAGAGGCAGAGTGGGAGCTCTGGCTATTTCAGGATGCACTGGGAAGTTTCTGCATCTCCTTTACACACAGTCACTCAGCTGCTCTCCTGATTAAATGATTTCACGGCCTCTTCCCTGGCTTTTTCTTTTTTTTTTTTTTCTTTTTTTTTGGTTTTTCGAGACAGGGTTTCTCTTTTCTCTTTCCTCTGTGTAGCCTTGGCTGTCCTAGAACTTGCTCTGTAGATGGGGCTGGCCTTGAACTCACAGAGATCTACCTGCCTCTGCCTCTCGAGTGCCAGGATTAAAGGCGTACGCCACTACCACCTGGCACCCTAACTTGTTCTAATGTGCATGCTTTCTCCCACATCTGGAGGAGAGCCACACCCAACTAATCCATCATCCCCTGGCTCTTCCCCGCTCTGCAGCTCCCATCTCCTCTGTCACTTAAGTTCAAACTCTAGAGGAAGATTCCAGGCCCTTCATGTCCTGCCTCTGCCTGCACCTCCAGCTGCATTCAAGGTCCTCCTCTTCTCAATTTCTTAAAAACACTCCCCTCCTCTTCCTCTTCCTCTTTCTCCTCATCATACTAGGGATTGAACCCAGGGCTCTGAACAGGCTAGGCCAGCACTCCACTACTGAGCCGCTACACACTCAGCCCTCCTGAAAGTCTTTAGATCTCACCACCACCCTGCCAAATGTGCGCAATGACCCCGTGAATGTCACTTCTTCCTCCTTCCCAGGACACTACCCCATCCTGGGATCCTGGGAGGCCGTTCTACCCTGGGTTCCTGTTACACTCAGAGGGCAGGGACTGGCCTGGTCCATATTTCCATTCTCAGGACCGACCTGAAGCTTAATTTTAGGAAGCACCTGTGACAAATTTAGCCGGTGAAATAAAAGCACACGGTGAACAAAGGTTAAGCTGCGTACTTGGCGTCTTTGAGGCGGTCCACTTGGATACGAGGTACTATGCAACCATACCCCAGAGTCAAACACAGCAGAAGTGTCAGGAGGAAAAGGATTGAGGGGGAAAGGCAGCTTCATGGCTCTCTGACCCTCCTTCCCAACTCGGGGTCTCCCTCTGTCCTGCCTACCCTCACCTCCAGGCCAACTCCACACTTTCTTTGCACCATTGGTCCTGGGAAGAATCAAAGATTCCATCTATCCTTTATGAGCTCAGCAGAGAAATGCTGGAGTTTGCAAAAAGAATCTTCTGAGAAACTGAAATGAACCACAGCACAAAAGCACAGAAGAGTCGGGCCACTTGAACTCTGGGAGAAGCAGGCCAGCTTCCTGTACTTTGGATCTCCTGCTGAGAGAATCCAGTCCAGTGAACTCTCCACCTGGGTCTTTCCTGCCCCACTTGCCAACCTCCTGGACCTTCTTTCTCCACAGAGAGTGTGAGCTGAGTTGCTCCTACACATACATGCCCATGTCCTCCAAAATATCCCAGGACACAGGGCAAGCCCTGAGCTCTACAGATGCTGGCTCCTGGCCTGGTTAGAGGGACCCAGCCAGTATCGAATCTGAAGCCCAAGGCAGGCTCTGGGCTTCCCCAACTGTCAAGCTTTCCAGTTACTCCCAAGCCTGCCTTTTTCCTGTCAGTTGCCGCCTAGTGAGCCAACTTCCCCATCTCAACACCATGAAGGTGTGAGGCAGTCAGAGTTCAGGGGTAACCATTATATACCTATCAGTACAGAGCCCCTTCCCTCACCCTACTTCCAAGACGTCCTCTGCTCAGGCCAGCAGGTTCTGACCAGGCACCCCGGCTTGTGTCTTCTCCCTCATTCATCTTCCCAGCACCCTCAGGCTGGATCTTGTCTCCCTCAGCCTGATCCAGATAAAGACCCTTCTTTTATACTTCTCATTAGGCAACCAGAACTGAAGGTCTGTAAATAGACATTTACTAAGAAATCTAAGCATACTTAATGCTAGGAATGTGAACAAGCCTGGCGTGGAAACAGGAAGCTTGCTGGGCATGAGTTCTGGGCTCTGACCAGAGAGCAGAAGAACAGAAGAATGAGCTTGGCAGGCTCAGGTCATTAAGCCTGGCTTCCGGTGACCTGACGTAGGAGGTGACTCCGTTTTGTGGCCAGCCTCCACTTTGCTCAGTCATGCCCTCCAGTGGCAGGCTCCTCTGTGGCAGCAGATGCTTGTCCTTTATGCTAACCTAGATTTGCCTCCATCTGACCCCAGCCCCTGAACTGGGGATCTGGCAGGCAGCCGGGGGCCTAGACAGTCCTGATGTACTTGAAGCCTTCTTGCCGACTAACTGGGGTCGGCAGGCGCCCTGGAGTTGGTACATCTGGATTTGAACCCGGCTCTGCCTCTAACAGCTGGGTGTCTTTGACTGAGTCCTTAGTCCATTGACCCTCAGGCCCTGTCTTTTGAACAAGTCTGGAGAGGTCTTTTTCACAGGACCATAAAGATCCAGGACGGAAGGCTGGAAAAACACGGTGCCTGTTCTGTAGCATTCCTTCAGTTACTGATATAGCTGTAACCAGTTTCCAGGAACTGTACACTGCCCAGAGCCCAGCTGCAGCCAGTGACATCCCCCAAGTGCTGTGGGTAACTGCAGTCTCCTCCAGGCCCCCTTGCCCTGCCACTGGGAGATCCACTGGCCGACCCCAGCTTTCCCAGGAAGCCCCAGAAAGTGGTTGTTCCCTACTCCGGGCCTACAGAGCTCTGTCCTCAGACCCTTGTAGCAGCGCCCCTCTGCCCAGCCATACCAGTCCAAGGACACCAGTCCACTGTTCTTCAGCACCAGCAGGACCACTGACGGCGGGGCATTAAGTGGTGCTGCTCCAAAATTGAAGTCCAGTTTCAGAGGAGTGAAGATCGGAGGCGTATGGCTCATGCTGTGGGAGGCAGAGAAATGGCTCAGTGCAAGGGGGTGGAGACAAGTCAGGGCTCTCACCTTGGGTCCCACCCACCGGTACAAAGCGAAAAGTCTGGAACTCAGGGTCAGGGAGGTAGCTCCTTAGTCCTTGCCTTCCCAGGTCCCTCTAAGGAATAGACAAGAATTAGCTCCCCCACCCTCACCCCCTCTCAGCTTCCTGGGAAAGGCCTGGTGTCGGAGTGTTGGTAGGTGGTCCATGGACATCTCTGGTATTTCCTGCCTGTCCCTAAGCCTGTCTTACCTGTGCCGGGTGGGCACTTTGTAGGTGAGCTCGCTGAAGGTGGGGTCACGTGTCAAGTAACTGTTGAGCACGTCGAGGTTGAAGAGGTGCCAGAGGTGCTTCCGGGTGATGCCCTCGGCACTGCCCATGGAGCAGATATCCAGGATGGAGAGTAGAGGAAACACAGCTTCCAGAGAGACGTGGCACAGTTCCTGCCTTTCGCCAACCACGCTGTCTGGGGGGGGGGGGGCGGGAGCGTGGGGGAGAGCAGAGGGCTTAGCCCCCCTGGGGGTGGGTGCAGAACCCTGCTCAGAAGCAGCGGCTGACCTTCAGTCTGGAGCACGTTTCCGACGGCAGCTGACCCTTCTTGTCTAAGACTTTCTGTGTTCCAGGCACTGCTTTGTTTTAACACACATCCTGGCACTTCGCTTGTACCACCACTGATCGTCAAACTCGTTGCAACAGAGTATAATTCATAGACTGTAAAAGCTACACTCTGACACATACAACTCGGCAGGCTTTATATATTCACAGGCAGGCAACCACCACCACTAAGTTTTAGAGAGCTTCTACTGTCCCCTTAAAAAAATGCAGTACCAACTAGTCAACACTCCCCCTCTAGGCCTCCCCCACCTCCAGCTACCACTAATCGATTCTCTGGCTGTGTATTTTATCTATTTTGGATGTTTCAAACATGGAATCATTCAGGGATTTTTTTTTTTCTGGCTGGCTTCTTTCACTTAGCGTCGCGCTTTCAATGCCCATCAGTGCGGTGGCCTACGTTATCACTTTATTCTTTTTTGTGGCCTACAGTCTGTGATCACCTCCCTTTTACTGACGGGGAAGGTGAGGCATATTCAGGTAGTACCACGCTGCCAGTAAGTGTGGGAGAGTCAGAACCCAATCCCACTGAGTGACTATTCTTCCGATGCCTGTTCCAGGAACTTCCAGCGGGCACGGAGAACAGTAACAACTCCATCTCATGGAGGAGAGAGCCCCGAAGCTTGACTCAGGATTTGCCTGTCGTCTCAACAGAAGGCAGCACGTTTGCTGACTCTTGTGTTGCCACAGCTCAGGGACACATGTATGGGTGTCACAGGGACAGACGCAGTTACGCACATCAGATCCCAAAGGCATGGTCCAGCCCACCCTCATCCGCTGGGCCAGCTTGTCTTGAACTAAGCATGGCTCTAGGGCTGCATCTCACAATTCACCTCTTCCCTTCTCCCCTTCCGGGGCCCCAAATCTCTGCTGAGTGCTCAGGTACCTTTGTGGGACAGGAGACAGTAGCTAATGGTCCAGAAATACTGGGAACGGCTCTTAGGACAGGCAGTCAGATAGATGGTATCCTGGGAATGAGGCGGCATGGTCCCCTCCAAGCGGTTGAATTCTAGAGCTGCTGGGAGACGGTGCAGGGGTCATCGGTGGGCAACTGAACAGAGGTGTCCTGGCCTCTCATGTTCCTCCTCAGATGCCCTCCCCTGGGTCACCACGACACTCCCTGGGAGCAGAGCAAGCTTGGGGTGGAAAGAACTATGCATCTTGATGTCATTCATGCCTGCCCCAGTTACAAAGTGGAAATGCTATGTTTCCCACTGTCTTGCCTGACCCACACATGGTGTGGGTCATCTGTCTTAAGGACACACAGACACACGCCTCCCTGGCCCCAGCCCCAGCCCAGCCCCCAGTACCACAGGGGTCGTTGTTGAGGCCCTTGGGACTGTGCTGCTTCAGGACCAGGCGGTAATAGAGGGTGCAGTTGCCATCATTCAGGAGCACCAAAGGCTTGACCTCCCGGCTGTTCACCAGTATGTTCCCGAAGTCCAGCTCCTTTGGCTTGGCCTGAGATCACAGTCAGCCAGCTGTTGGGGGCTCCCCCAACCCTTAGCCTTCAGAGCATTCCCCAAGGAAAGGCAGACCTGAGGTTGTGTGCAAGGATCCATATCTTGTCCCCTGCCTTCTTAAGGCTGGGTACCTGGGACTTTCCCTCCCTCCTAGGTCCTGGCTCCGCCTCCACCAGGGCTTCCACTCACAGAGAGGCATCCGGTAACGCCCATGCCCACCAGCCGAATCCTGTAGTATTTGGTGGCTCGGGGATTGGTCTTTTGCGGCTGTCTGGCTTCCCAGACCCACATCCCCACTCGGAACAGGTACTTGATCTCCTCCAAAGGGCTGAAGGTCCACGTCAGTGTCTGGGGTCACAGAGATGATTCATTCTTGCATGCACGTGTCCAGGACGCCCCCTCCCGGGCTCCTGGCTGGGGGAGATCTCAATGCCAAAGCTCGACACCATTTTTCATCTGCCTGTTTACTCAAATGCCAAGCACTTTGCATACATGGTATTATCTTGTCTCCGAAGCCCCTCAATCCTACAGCCCCATGACAGGGCAGACTTATTTTGGCGGAAACTGGAGCCTCAGAGAAGTGGAATTCCTGGACCAGGGTCAGAAACCTGGTGACAGGAGGCTGGGGCAGGAACTCAAGTGGGTTTCTACATGTGTGTGATTTCTCAGGCTCCTGTTTCCTGTCCCTGGGTGTTTGTGGGTACCAAGTATTGGTAGTTACTCCTCTGCATCTGACCTACCTCAGACTAGGGACAAAGTTTGTTGTTTTAGGTGCCCATTTGGGTCCCCCTTTTGTACTAATCTGGAACACCCCTTCCTGAGAGAGTCACCCATTTGGACCATATCCAGCTGATTCAAGCTACCTGCCAAGAGTCTTGCTGCTTGGATACCATGAATGATAAAATTTAGACCTGCTGGGGCCCTGGGCCGCATTCGGTCCCAACTCTGCCCTCCTAATATTGATCTTAATTAAATACTCTTCCCCTGAGTCTCGATTTCCTGTAAGATGAGGGTGAGGAAGGTGTTACTAAAACCTTCTAAACCTCAGGCTGGGGGAGGTGACTATGGATTGCTCAGGTAGGTGTACATGATAGACCATGAGAACCACAAGTAAGCCACAGAAAAGGTAAGCATGACAGGTGCCCTCTCATCTACGCTTGGCAATGGGGCCCAGGCACTCACAAGATTCTCATGGGGATGGATGATGCCCTTGGAGGGCTGGACAGCCAGCATCTTTTGGTGCTGCTGGGAGACTCTCCATTCGAACTCCAGGGGCAGCCGTGAGGGGTTGTGAAAGGTGAGGTCGCTGGTAGAGGAACAGCCCACCCAAGTGGGCTTGAAAAAGATGCTTTTGCAGGTGTCCAGCTTCAGCTGCAGGGGCTCCTCTCTGCTCTGAATGCTCAGCTCCTGAGCCAGAGGAAGGGAGGAAGGACAAGGCCATGACCTTTTGGCTCTCCCGACATGTTTAGGAGGAGGCATGGCTGTGCAGATTGTCGCCCTTGGAAGGGGATAGATAAAGCTGCTTTCCAGCTTGAACACAGCAGCTTCTCTCAAAAGCATACTAAGAAGAACCCAGAGCTAGGTGTGGTAGATCACTCCAGAAATCCCAGCACTAGAGTAGATGAGGCAGGAGGATTGCCTTGAGTCTGAGACCAGACTGACCTATTTAGTGATACACTGTCTTTTTTTTTTTTTTTTTTTTTTTTTAGATAGGGTTTTTCCCTGTAGCTTTGGAGCCTGTCCTGAAACTTCCTCTGTAGACTAGGTTGGCCTCAAACTCACAGAGATCTGCCTGCCTCTACCTGCCGAGTGCTGGGATTAAAGGTGTGCACCACCACTGCCCGGCTGTGATATACTGTCTTTAAAACACAAACATCAAACGCTCAGGGACCCAGAGAGGATGTATCAGTTTTTCATGGGGTTGGATGTGGGTCTGCTCTCTAGGCCTGCCCCTGCACTGGCTGAAAACAGCACTCTACCACCTACAGTAGGAGTCTGGGGTAACTGCAGATTTTTCTCTGGCCCCAGACTCCATGAAGCAGGTAACTCACTGAGAAGCAGCAGAGTTGTCACGGGTGGAGCCCAGGGCTCTCTCCCTACTATTTCTCTTTATTAGAGAAGTGCCTCCAGCCTCACCTACCAGCTACTTTGGCAGGGACCCTAAAAATGTGGCCTAAGGACCCAGTCTCCCTCTCCCCCATCTCCTACCTTGAGATACTGGGGATAAAAGTTGAATTGCAGGTAGAAAATGTGCTGCTTCCATGAGGTGCCCTTGGGGCATGTGCTGATAAGGAAGACCTGGTGGGCCTCAGGAGCTACGAGGCCAGAGGAGGGCCTCAGGGTGATGTCCGAGCTGCTGTTAGGGGCCAGGCTGAAGGTCAACAGCATGGGGCCTTTGTTGACCAGAAGCAGGCTTCTGTAAGAGGGCTCCCCAGAAGACACTGCTGGGAACGTCTGGGAGTTGGGGAGAATAAGAGGGAAAGGGATCCTTCCTCAGGTCTTCACCCTAGATACACACTCAGGGACACTCAGGTTTGGATGATGCTGTCTCCAAGGAGACCCAAGATCTCTGCACACAGCCCAACCACCGAAGAATTCCTGATAATTAAGGGAGGTCACAGCCTGCCACCAAAGAATACTTGTGTCCTCCAAAGACCTCCAGACATAGGGATGTGGTGGCCTCAGGTCCCAAAGTCAGGTCTCTAAGGCCTGTCCTCAAGTGTAGAGAAGGAGTTGTTCTTAGCAGTGATTTCCAGTTACTCTTTGAAGACTTACTTCCATCCATCCTCGGTCAGAAGATCGGGGTCATTAGCTCTTTCTAATTCCCACTCAGGTGTCAGAGGGAGATCAACCACAATAGTCCCAGCTCCTAAACACTTCTCAGACATCTTGGATAAGGCCAGGACTAGGCTAAACACTAAACAGGCTTCACAACCCAAGGCCCATAATCCCTGGGCCAAGTTCCTATCTGGCTGTGCCAAAAAAGTTCATGTGAGTCAGTACAGAAGCAACACAGGCTGCCACTAGACTGTGGGAAGGCCTCAAGTCACACTGGGAGGAGCTGGCCAGGGACCAGAGGCATCTGTGAAGACACCCTTGAGCATCGGGGAGAGCTTTATTTGAGGGAGGGGCGGCCTCGAGGTGGATATGAAGGCGGCACAGGCTTGGGATGGTGAACAGAAGTGAAGCCGACGAAGAGAGCAGGATGGTGCCTTGTCTCAAAGAGGCGTCCGTCCCAGTAACAAAAGCCAGTGAAAAACTGACATAGAGCTAGAAGCTGGGGAGGGACAGCAGAACTGGCCCCAGGCCACGCACTTTTCATCCCTGTTTCGTCCTGCCTCCCAGGGCTGAGGATACCTCCAAGGTCTGTCTGAGAAGAGGTCTGGGAATTCATGCTTTGGGCTGGTTTATCCTTAGGGTCCAGCCTAGGGCTTGGGAGCCATCAGGTGCTCAGTGATCAGGACAAATGAAGGCGTTGGAAAGTATAGAGGACCAGGTAAAGGTTCCAGATGGAGTGGAGAAGGACTAGTACCCAGTCTTTAGACCGTTCTTGTGCTGGGACCATGGTCCAAGAGCATGCTATTCATTGGCCTCGCTCCCTCGAATGGCCAGGAAGGACATGGGGATGTATTACTGAGGCCTTTAGAAAGAGAGGCTGGGGTCTCTCATCCTGCTCCCACTGTGGTTGGGGCCATGCTCACCTTGGGTACATCCAGGGAATATTGGGGGATGTGGTGCTCTAAGGCAGGGTAGTAGCTGTGTCCTCGAGCCCGAACCTTCAGACACCAGGATGGGACCACTGTGCAGTCCTCCTCAATATTGCTGTAGCTCTGAAGGACCTGCAGGGGCCAGGCCACGAGGAAATTCAGAGTTCAGTCTGACCCTCGAGGACAGTCACCTTCCCTCCCTGGTCCTATGCTGTAGGCATCCTATATTGGGCACAAGAAAGGAGGATTGAGGGAGGCTGCAGAGGATGGCCAGCCATGCCCTGTCCCTTCAACTGGAGCCTCTGACTGGCTCTCAGCACACTCTGTGGGAGGAGAGTGGGGTGAGATGTGGACGCAGCATTCATTCTATAGGAATGGGCCCAGAGCAGTGCTGGCCAATGGAAATACAGCATGAGCCACAGATTCCGGCTGAAAATGATGCAATTTTAAATGTTTCGGTGTTTGTTTAAACATTTTTTTGGCTTTTTGTTTTGTTTTGTTTTGTTTATCGAGACAAGGTTTCTCTGTGTAGCTTTGTGCCTTTCCTGGCACTCACTTTGTAGACCAGACTGGCCTCAAACTCACAGAGATCCGCCTGCCTCTGCCTCCCGAGTGCTGGGATTAAAGGCATGCACCACCACCGCCCGGCTGTTTAAACATTTTTTAAAAAGTGAAATTGATTTCAATAATACATTTATTTAACTTAATAGGTAAACGTTATCATGCAATCATTATAAAAGCTATTACTGAGATAGTTTACATTCTTTTCATATTAAATCTATGAAATTTGGGTATATTTTACACTCACGGTACATCTCTACTTGGACCACCACCCCTCAGGTGTTCACTGGTCATGTATGACTTTCCTGCCAGCACAGGTCTGAAATCTGACACGCTCAGCTTTGGCCAGCCAGAAGTTATCATCCTATCCCCCCGTCTCCCATTTCCCTGCTAATGCATGAGGATGGGGACAGTTAAAGGGATAGGCATGGTGGCCCACGCCTTGGTCTACATAGGGAGTTCCAGGCAAGCTGAGGCTACACAGTGAGACCTTGTCTCATAAAAAAAGAAAGAAGGACAAGACAAGACGCCGGGGGTATCGTTCAGTTGGTAGAGTGCCTGCCTGTCATGCATCAGGCCTTGGGTTTGGTCCCCAGCACCAAATGAACTGAGTGTGGTAGTTCATATCTGCAATTTCAGTACTCAGGAAATGGAGGCCATCCTTGGCTATATGGCAAACTCAAGGCTTGGCCTGCACTAGACAAGGTCTTCTCTACAAAAACAAAACAAAACAGAACACCGCAACCAAGCTTGGAGGCTGAGGCAGAAAGATTGAAATGAGTTGAGGCCAGCCCCGACTATATAGTGAAAGGAACCCTGTCTATGAAAAACAACAGAAAACACAAACTACAAAATAAAAACAATGGCTTTGCTTTGGACTAGGTCTTCAAGGTCTAGAAACCAGGGACCCTCTACCTGAGACCCCCAGAGAGCTCTTCCCTAGGTACTAAGTTTTCCCAAAGTGCTTTATTCCAGCTGAGTTCTTCCCTGAGGGGAGGGGAGGGAGGGAGACCGCACAGAAGTGGGAATCAGAAGGACCAAGTCAGGCCATGAGCCTGGGCGGATCAAACCAGTAGAGGGCACTGTCCAGTCGAGGAAAAAACAGGAGAAGCCTGCGTGGAGAGGATGGGCTCTGTGGCCGCCTGGCATCCTTGTAACTAGACTCTGCCCTTCAGGCTCCAGGGAGGGACGTTAGTCTCTCCACTTGTTTGGTCTGTATGCACACACCTTATAAACAGCGAAGGCTTCTAGCTCCACAGCATAGAGGCTGTTGGGGGCAGGCGGCTGGAAGTGCAGGCGCAGGGCTACGGACTTGAGTGGGCGCACATCACTAGTATTTGGGGTCACCCAGAAAGGGCAGTCAGATCTGCAAGTCCAGACCACGGTGATCTTGCCTTTGGTATGGTTCCTCAGGCACAAGGGAACAGGGTTGGGGACCTCAGGCCCAGGACAGGCACCAAAGTCCACATCAATAGGCTCTAGACTGACAGCCGGGGGGAAGACGGCCAGGTCCTTGGTGCCATCAAAAAAGTACTCCGTCATGGGGGGGATCTGGGGGTACTTGGTGGCTGGCAGTTCCACATCCTGCAGATCCTGCACAGGGAGAGACTGGGACAGGGTTCAAACGTCATTCATCTTGCTGCTGACTTTCTTCAGCTCCCTCCTTTCCAGAAAAGACTGCAAGCTCTCCGTGCAGGTCGTCTCCAGCTACACTGGCGTAGGACACAGGCCTACTCAATGACCGCTAGGGAAGGGACGGGGTCCTGGCGAGAGCAGCCTGTCTCTGTGGGGGCTGGAATGTCTGGCACCCCACATACCTCCATGGGCAACATGAGGGCCCCGTTCTCATCCTGTTCCAGCTTTTTCTCTTTCAGCATGGCAGCCAGGATATCAGGAGAGTAAAGTGTCAAGCCCCGAGCCAGGTGTGTTCGGTACCAGGTGAGGTGCTGAGGCCTCAGGATGACTGGCTTGGTGTTGTCTGAGTGGCAGGTCCCAATCAGGTCCAGAAACAGTGGGTCCTGTGACACCAAAGTCCACATCACATGGTGACATTTGTCCGTGTGAGACAGAGCATGGGGTAGGTGGTGAGGCAAGGAGATGTAGGGGTTTGGACAGAGGATAGATGGGGAGCAGAGGCTGAAGGGTGGCCAGTCAGGGGAGCATCCTGAGAGCTGCCCTCTAGTTGAGGAGACAGCGGGACTCCAGAACAAGCCAAGAGGAGCAGCCTCCACCTGGGGATAGGATGCTCAGTTACTGCCTGCCCTTCCCCCACTTCCCATGGGTCCCGGGCATTCTCCTGTGTATCAGGGCCAATCAGGAGCCTATCAGACTAGCATTTAGCCCTGTCCATGGAGGGGGGATGGTGGAAACCAGGGCTGTTCTACCCTTTCACTCCAAGGCCTCCAGGAGCTCATGCTTCACTTATGAGAATCGGGCAAAGAAACCCTTCCCTAGGTAGAGGGGTGCAGCCCAGAGACCAGTTGATGAGGACAGGCTACATCTCAGCCTAAACTTGGTCGTGGTGTCCAGATACTGCACATCACATTTGCCCAAGGGGCTGGGTTTGGGCTCTAGCTTCAGAGTCCCCACCCTGCACGTGCGGTGTGGGCTGATGTCCAAAGCTCCCCTTCCCAGCTCCCTGACAGCAATACCAGTGGTCGTGGAAGCAGCAGAGCCTACGGCAAACTTGGCAGGCCCACCTGGATTAGTGAGCTTTCACACACCCCTGGCCAAGCTCTGCCTCTAAAGCCATGGCAGAGAGTCTAAAGATGACCCAGGCAAACAGCCTTAGATGTTCTGAAAAGAGGGGAGAACCCACCAAGCCTTGCTTTCGTCTCTGAGTCTCATGGCCTCTCACAAAACAGAACGGCCTCTTTATCCCCATCTCGGTCTCTTCTCCATCACTCACCTGGTGGTGGATGAGACAGGCCACCCTCCGGAAGCAGATGATAGGATGTGTGGGCTGGTAGGCGCAGTGCAGGGTCATACGGGCCTTGCCTGCCAGGGTTCCAAAGGCGGGCCTGATGTTGAAGACACTCTCCTGGCAGTCAATGTCAAACTGGAAGTGAGCTATGCAGTCCGACTTGTTCTCAATCCACAGGGTCTGCTCCGAGCGCTCCCCGAGCCGGACCCAGTTGAAGTTGATGCAGTAATGCTGCAGGGACACATCAGGACCTAGGCAGAGGAGATGGGTCCTCGTGAGGGGGCCCTGCCTCCTTCTGTGGGCTGGGGTGCCAATCTCGAAGGAGATCTCATAAGAGGTCCCACAGCTGGGATGAGGAGCCCCCTGGAGCTAGATGGCCAGGCTGGATAAGGCCCAGGGCCCATACAAAATTCTGAGTTCCTCACTATCTGGAAAGACGGGATCGCCAGGTATCCAGAATGCTTCCCTACACGGCCACCAGGGGACAGCAGACACCTAGGCTGAGGGACCAGGAAAACAGAGGTCTCTCTGGAGTAGACAAAGAGCTCAAGTGTGGGATGCTTATGTTCTGGGGAGTACAGCCTCCTGGGATGGCCATTACCTTTACAGAAACCAACGACTTGGAGCAGAGTTTGGGAGGCACAACCAGAAGGCACAATGGAGAAGTAGTCTATGGCTCTGCTGTCCAAGGTCTTGGGGTGGAAGAACACTGACAGGCATTTCTTCTCTCCTGCGGGCACGATACCTTGGCTTATGGAGCATGAGAAGGTATGGTCTTTGGTCAGCATGTCCTCAGACATTTCAATCTTGAAGGGGGCGTTAACCTGTCAGGTCAGGGGTCACAGGGAGGAGAAGTTCTAGTCACAAGTTCAGGCAGTCTGTGGACGTCTTCCTCATACTGAGGAAGTCACATGAGGGATCAGGGACAACTCGTATGCAGTCTGGCCTAGGTGAGTATCGGGTAACACAGGGAGAAAGGAGCCACGCTGTGTGTCCCACCTCAAGGCTGCCCAAAGTGGGGGCATCGTTTTCTTCTCCCAAAGGTAGTGTGAGAGCTAGCCTCAGACCTGGGGTCAGGACACTCAGGGGGCTAAGGGCACCTGAACCCAGCCTCAGCTGACAGGAGAGAGAGGAACACCTGATGATGGCTGTTGACACACGCACACACACACACACACACACACACACACACACACACACACATGCACACGCATGTCCGCGTGTCCTGTGTTTGTATCAACAGTCACTAGTGTACAAGGCTTTGGGTCTGAGGGTGGAGAGGAGGGAGGAGGGGTTATAAGGGTGGGTCATAAGCATACCGAGTCTTGGGGTCCCTGAGTCCTGCCCCTTCCCTCTTGCCCATCCCTTCCCAGTACATGCACACCACAGACGGATTGTACAGCCTGATCTGCCGCTCCATGGTGCAGCCCACGGCGACAGAGCCGAAGTGTAACACCTTCTGGAAGCCCTCTGTGTCCTGGTCCTTTGGCTGCTTGTGCTTTATGCTCACCAGCAGCTGCGTACATTTAGCTGGGGCAGAGATGGGGTGGGGGTTTGAGGGGAACCTATCAGGACCTCTATAGCCCCAGCTGAACAGTCCCGAGAAGGCATATGTCATTGTCCCCTGCCCACCACCGGGAGGGATCGTCTGTGACTCGATAGACAATAAAGCAGGTGAAAAGACAAGAGGGGACCTGCGGGGGGTGGGGGGAGCACATTGAGGTCTAAAACCAGGGAAGGCTGCAAGGTCTCTGGGGACAGATAGGAAGGCAGGTCTACCTGCAGCCTGTATCTGGATGCTGTTCTTCTGTCTGGCGCCCTTTCCGTACCAGCACAATGCCTCAACATCATGGATGACAGCTATGCGGGGCTCAAAGGTCACTTTGATCTTACAACCCAGGCCTGGCTCCAGCATCCCCGTAGTGGGAAGTATCTGGAATGGGGTTGGGACTTCCCAGGTGAAGAAGGTGGGCAGGTCCCTACGAGTGAGGGGGTAGGTCAGGTCAGGGGTTCTGCTGCCCCCTGGCATAAACTTGTCTCCTCCGCTCCCTACAGCTCTCCTCCGAGGGGTTGCTGTCTCCCTTTCAGGACCTTAGCCCTTTCTTCTCACCCCACATTGTTCAGACAGAACCAAGTCTCCACTGTGTCTCCGATGGCACATATGGGCAGTTGCAGGGAAGATGGGCAGTCTAGCATGTGGCAAGGCAAGGTGGCCTTCAGGGACACGTAGAATACCCCTTCTTCTTTCTCAAACCACAGCTGGTCCGTGTATTCCTTCTGCAGGACAGAAGGCAGAGGAAGAGGCAGTCACCAGTGAGTGGTACCCAGGTAAAACTCGGGCTCATACATCCCACCTCCGCTAAGCCATTTCTTCGATAAATCCCTGGCAGGCGGGCTTGGCTGTAGTCCATCATGTCGGAACTTCCTGAACTCTTATATTGTCTTGGCCTCTGAGAAAAGGGCCACTTCTGTGGGAAACAAGGAATTCCAAGAAGCCAGATACAATGGCATACCCCTGCAATTGCAGCTATTCGGGAAGTGGATGCAGGAGGATCACACAAACCTAGAGGTTTCAGGATAACCTGGGCCACATAGTGAGACTATGACTCAACGTAATGATCCTCAAAGACAAAAAGTTTCACACACACACACACACACACACAGACACACACACACACACACACACACAAATCTGAGAAGTTTGCAGGGATCAGAAGGCTAAGGAATCTAGAGCTTTCTGGTGATAATCACAGCCTTTATGACCCCATACCCAGTGGGGAGCACCCCTCTATTGAATGAGATCAAAGTCTGAGCCTTTTTTTTTTTTTTTTGAGTCTTTCTAAGCTGTATATCTTTTTGTTTGTTTGATTGGTTGATTTTTTTTTTCCGAGACGGGATCTCATTTTGTAGCCTTGATTGGCTTGAACTTGTTATGTAGACCAGGATAGCCTTAAACTCAGAGAAATGCATCCGCCTCTGCTTCCCAAATGCAGGATGTACAGGTGTGTGGGGAAATCCCTGCTGCTTGGACAATCCTCCTATTCTGAGGTCTCTGCTCTTTTGCCCCTTCCTATACTTCATTGCTTCTCTGGTAGACCTTACCTCTTCCAGAGGTCGGAAGATGATGGGAAGTGTGAGGGTTATGCCTGGGCTCAGGAAGATGGGCTGAGGAACCATGGTGAAGAAGAACTTGGTCTTGGGAGGCCTGCAGAGAAGAGCCAGGTGATGAGCACGTCAGAGCTGGGCTCAGAACCACCAGAGGAAGCCAAAGTCAGAAGATTGAGGAAACTCAATAGGGGGCCGGATTGCAAGTCCTTCTCCTTTTATTTTTATTTTTATTCTTTTTTTTTTTTTTTTTTGAGATAGGGTCTTGTGTAGCAAGGCTGACCTCAAACTCACTACATGGAGCCTTGAACTCCTCCTGATCCTGCAGGTATGTGTCCCCATACCTGACTCCTACAGTCCTTCATATCAAGATCTGTGTCTGATGAAGATGATGGTCATGGAGAGATATGAATAGGCTATCCTGATTTAACAGGGACCCAGCAGGGTAGCATGGGAGCATCAGATTTTCAGAGTGTTAGGAAGAACATGATGTTGATAAGGACTCCAGCAATGGTCAGGTAAGTGTAGGTAGGACAATCATATCCACAGGAAAATGTAACTTACAAAACCAACTCGAGAATTAGGCAGTGAACTTTATGGTCACTCTGCCCCAAACCATTAAAGAAGTGGAAAGGGTAGGCATAATGTTCCCATAGAGAAAGTTCTAGAATAGATGGATTCACAAGCAAGTCCCACCTAGCATTAGAGGGAAGACAAGTCCAGTTTTCTGTTTGTTTTGTTTTTAATGTATGAGTGCTCTGTGTGCATGTGTGCCTGCATGCCAGAAAAGGGCATCAGATCCGATTATAGATGGTTGTGAACCACCATGTGGTTGCTGGGAATTGAACTCAGGACCTCTGAAAGAGCAGCCAGTGTTCTTAACTGCTGACCCATCTCTCCAGCCCGATAATTCCAGTTTTAAGCTCTTCTGGATGATATAGAAACAGTCCCAATGTAGTCTTTGAAACAACCATATGTCATTGCTAAAACCTGACAGAGGCAGAAAGAAAACTACAGACTAATCTCAGAAACAAAATATTAGTAAAAAGGAACATAATAATGTTCAAATTATCCAGAAATAATTCAGAAAGTCAGTTGATATAATCGACATATGAAAAAAATAGGAAAAAATGATATCTCAATTAAAAGATGTTAGGGGCTGGAGAGATGGCTCAATGGCTAAGATCATTTGCTGCTCCTTCACAGGACCCAAGTTTGGTTCCCAGAACCCACACGGTAACTCACAACTGCCTCTACCTTCAGATCTAGGAGATCCAACACCCTCTTCTGGCCTCAAGGTCATCCAAACACATATATGCATGTACACATATGCAGACACACACATATGCATATAAATAAAAATAAATCTTAAAAACAACTTTTAAAAACGTTAGAAAACCTAGCCAGTCAGTGGTTCGTAATTGTAATTTCATCACCTGGGAGGATTGCCACAAGTTCGAGGCCAGCCTGGTTTATATAATGAGTTCTTGGTCAGGCAGGGCTATATAGTAAGATCCTACCTCAAAACAAACAAAAAATTGACAGCCTTCAAAAAACTATCAACCAACAAAAAACAAAAACAACTTTAAGCATATCACATATAACTGGGCACAGTGACACATGTCTATAATTCCAGAACTTGAGAACCAGATGTAAGGGGACTCAGTACTGTAATGTGTAATCCCCCAAATTGATCTATATATTCAGTCAAACTCCATTATCACACACAAAAAGTAGGTGTGTATTGAGCTGATTTTAAGTTTTTAAGAAAGTTCAAATGGAGAAGAACAACAGGTCATCTTGAGAAGGTGGAGGGCCTCACACAACCAGATATCAAGTTTACTGTAAATTCAACTAATTAATTCAGGCTGCAACGATTAAGCTCAGGATCACACTAGTCGGTCAGGAGCACAGAGCGGTTCCCAGCCATGAATCAACACATCAACAGTCGGTGTGTGTCAGTGGCAGAGACACCATCACCTGGAGTGCGTCAGCTTTCATAAATGATGCTGAGAAAACCGAACATTCAGTTGAGGAAGTGTATCATCAAACCATTCACAAACAACAATTCCATATAGGTAAAAGAACAATTCGAAAGTCTCTTTGGAAAAAATACTCTAGGGAAATATCTTCATGACCTGGAGGTGTATACAGAAAGGCAAATCAATGTTTTTTTTTTTAAATGTTACAAAAGCGTATCATATTCTTTCATTCAAAGTTCATGAGGCAAATTAAACTCTATTATTTAAGGCCAACACATACGGCAAATCCATTTGGAAACAGCAAGGAAGTTGTTAAAGCTGGAGGTGGGATGGTTCTCTGTGGGGAGGAAGGTCCCATGCTGTGGGCTCCAGTTATTATTTCTAGGATTCTTCACACTGCATGTGTTTTGAACGTTCTTCTGGATTGGTGGGTTTTTAAAGGTTGTTTTGTTTTCTTTTTAAAATGAACTCACTTCAGGGGCTTGAGGGCTCAGGTTCTGGGCCCCTCATTCTGGTACCTGTACTTTATCTTCTGGATCTTCAAGGAGAGGTTTTTCAGAACCAGGTTCCTCGTGATCTCCTTGCCCAGCTCCCAGCCTTTCCAGTGAAGCTCCTCAGTGACCTCGATGCCCCAGAGCACCCTCTTCTTCACATCATTTTGCTTCTTGGCGACACATATTTTTCTGGTCAGGGGACTTGAAAGCTGTTCAGGCATCAGGAAAAGGGGAAGAAGCAAAGCCAATCAGCGGGAATAGGATGCTAAGACTCAGAAAACAGGTGAAGATGCCCCATCTCCACCCTGTTTTCAGCACTTCAGGGATGGTGACATCCCTCACCCTGGGGTGTGGACTAGAGAGAAAATGGAGTCCAGCATCATCACATCCAAAGTCACTGCAATGGTTTGCTCATAAAAGGCCCAGCAATGAGGTCTTACCTGAGCTGCCCTATCCAACTCCTCCACCAGGTTTGCAGACGGAGGTCCTGGCTGCTGGGTTCTGTCCCTTGGGCATCCTCAGGCACCTCTTCCTGAGGAGCCTTCGCCTCCTGCTCTTTCTCAACCTGCCCTGCTCCCAGAAGCCTCTCCTAGCTGGAATGATCTACCACAGGCATTTCCCCAGAATGCAGGACATCCCACAGTTCCTTCACCTGACCATCAGCTGGCTATTGGAGCAGAGGAAGGAGCCAAGTTGCCTGTGACCAACTCCCACCATGCCCTCCCAGGCCAGGTCACACGCTGCTTAAGACTTAGTGTGCCAGTATTTCCCTGACTATAACAGAAACAAACAAACCAACCACTTCTTCCATTGATCCATATCACTTATCTAGCTGAGAAGGGAAGAGGCTGAAACCTCTTAGGCAGTAAGATGGAGGACGGGTAAACTGGACACCTTTTCCTGCCATGACCATTGCCATGGACACTCAACTCACTGCCTTTTTATCTTTGACCAGTTATTGCTTGTCTGTTGTCCCATAACACAAGATGGAGTCATCCAGTCAGCAAATATCTGTTGACTGCCACGTGCCAGGCACTGTACGAGGCACTTGGGCTATTATGGTGAAGAAGACATGAATCCCTTCTCTCTGGAGATTACACTCTCCGTTTCAATGTTTCCTAAGAGCCTTGGATGGCCAGTATACTTTCTTTCCCTGATTGCCTATGGAGGAAAGGGGGTACAGATGATGGAGAGAAATCCATCATCAAAATCAGTTAGTGCATCTGTCACAGGAAGTAAGAAGCCGCTCTAGTGCTCAATCAGGGGCCTCAGACTCAGTGGGTGGGGTGCTTCCTGGGTAAAGGTGAGGAACTGAGTTCCGATCACCAGCACCCATGTAAAAGTTGATGCAGTGGCATGTGCCTGTAACCCTAGCCCTGGGCAGGGGTGAGGGCTGGAGAGTTGGAGACAGGCAGATACCAGGGACTTGCTAGACAGATAGTCTAGCCAAAATGACAAGCCCTAGCTTCAGTGAGAGGCTCTTTCAAAATGTAAGGTGGAGAGTGAGAGAGAAAGATACCTGATAGTAATTTCTGGATTCCAAACATGCCCATATAGACAAGTACACACCACACACACACACACACACACACACACACACACACACACACACACACTACCAAGTAGTGCAATACACAGTCAAAGACAGAGAAAAAAACCCTACAGGTTATCAACATCAATAAATGCCCAGCAGGACTGGAGAGAGAGCTCAGAAGTTAACAGAGGACCAAGTCCATTCCCAGTGCCCACCTGTACTCATATCTGCTCAGGGCTCCATCTAGGGAGGGTAAGTGCCAGAGTGTAGACGGGGGAGTCAGTCCCTCAGATTCTCACCACGTTGTACTGTCACAACGCCCCTCCACGGTCTTGCCACGCTTGATCCACCATCCTGACCAGATCCTCACCTGGGTAGTGACACTGCTACTTGCCAATGTGCTGGCGCTCAGGCAGGACCCATCGTTCACGGTATTCACGGTGCAGTCTCCGCTCTCCCTGGGCCTCGTAGTGTGGCATGAGTGTGCGATGAGCATCTAGCCAAGTCAGAAATTCCTACCAGGTCCACACAGGAGTCTGGAACTGGGAGGGGAGCAGAGGAGGAACATGAAGAAGAGAGTTGATGGAGGAAACTCACCATTATTGAGATGGAGGAGAGGTATGCTCCCTGTTCTGACAGTGCTCTGAGGTGGCCCCATGGGAAACGAGGTGGAACATAAGCTCCAGAGTTTTGGCTCAGTGGCCTGAAGTACCACTCAGGAAACCACACAAAAGGTTCTGGGACAAAGTTCATGCAGCCATGTTCTTCCATGGCCACACATGACATTAGTTTGCTTTCTACTGCTGCTATAGACGCCATGACCAAAATAACTTAGAAAGGAAAGGGTTCATGTTTGTCTTCCAACTCCCAGGAAAGTCAAGGCAGGAAATCAAGGCAGGAACCTGGAAGAAGGAACTGAAGCAGCAACACGTTTTACTGGCTTGCTCTCCATGGTTTACTCAGCTTGCTATTTTGTTTGTTTGCTTTTAGACATAGCCTCACTATATAGTTCTGGCTAGCCAGGAACTTGCTCTGTAGACCAGGCTGTCCTTGACTCACAGAGATCTGCCTGCCTCTGCCTCCCAACTGCTGGGATTAAAGGTGTGCATCACTGGCTGACTGTGACGTGCCTTTTATTTAACCTAAAAATCTCCCTTTTCAAGTTGGTGGTTGAGTTCTCTGTGAATTCAGATTCAACAGTCTCGTGATCACCTGTGGGAGTTTACACACTTCCTGCAGACACACTCATTCCCTCTCCACCAAGCAGAGAAAGCCTCTGTTGACTCATTTCTTCCTAGAGGGTTCTCCAACCACTGGAGGGAACCGTCTCCGTTCATGCCTTCATCCCATCCATTCATTCACAGAGCGTTTGCTGAACACTTACTACCCAGCCTGCACTCTGCCAGACATGGGACAAGACAAGGAAGGTTCCTACCTTCAACCATAAAGTGGGTGATCCAGACGGGATCCAAGAAATGCAAGCTGGGGATGGGGAGAAGAGTTGTTACTTCTCTGTCTTTGGATAGCTTTGCAGTCCTGCCCCTCTTCCCTGATCTCTCAGATATCAGGGGATTTGACAGACAGTTCCTGCCTCACCGCTCTGAAAGCCTCCACACAACACATCAATCTATCTCTGAAAGGTCAGAGAAGAGAGGAAACGAAATAGGATAGAGGAGCGGTCCAACCCGGTCTTAGGGTAGTGAGCACGGAGCCTACTGGGGACAAATGGGGTCATTTCCAACGTTTCGCGGTGAAAAGACGGTGCAGCTGTGGGGATTTTGTTGCCTTGCCTTTTGGTTTTGTTTTAAACCAAGTTTCTAGTTTCAAGGTGGGGAAAAAAAGATACCACCAGCTCCTTTTATTTGCCTAATTTCCGATCTTAAAATTTTCCAAAATGACCGGTGGAAAAACGGGGGTGGGAGGAGTGGGTGTCGCCATGTATAGTCGAGGAGAAAACGGGCAAAACGAAGGGAACAAATTATACTTAGAGGGCTCCTCCAGGTCTCCCTGATCCCGCGTCTGATTAATCCCGCCCACGACGAAAGGGCTCTCTGAAGACCCGCCGAGATTTCCTGGAGGAAGGGGTCTCGGTACAGTCACCTTCCTTGACACTTACTTCTCTCGCTGGGCTCCAACGTTCAGAACTCATACTGCCGCCATACTGACGTCTCCATAGATACAGGACGCGAGGGACACAGCGTCTCTTGGTATCCCAGGGCAACGACGGCAACCCCAAAGAGCCAAAGTTCAGAGAAAGCGAATGAGCACTCCCGAGCCCCCCCCCCCCGCTTTTCATTTATTTTCTTCATTTTCTTCTTCTTCTTCTTCTTCTTCTTCTTCTTCTTCTTCTTCTTCTTCTTCTTCTTCTTCTTCTTCTTCTTCTTCTTCTTCTTCTTCTTCTTCTTCTTCTTCTTCTTCTTCTTCTTCTTCTTCTTCTTCTTCTTCTTCTTCTTCTTCATCTCCTCCTCCTCCTCCTTCTCCTCCTCCTCCTCCTTCTCCTTCTCCTCCTCCTCTTCCTCTTCTCCTTCTCCTCCCCCTCCTCTTCTCCTGTTTCTGCTTCTTTTGGTGATGAGGATCAATTAATCACTAAGTCCTGACATTCAGTCTTGACTCCCAGACTTTCCCTACTGTAGCAGCTACTGTGATTTTCTTCCAGTCCCGACAAAGTAAACATGGTCCCCCTAATTTTCAGGGCATCCTGGCAGTCATTACTTTAGTAGACAACCATATTCATATACTGTTGCTGGGCTCAGTACCTGAATGGGAGTCATTCCTAATCTCTTGGGGTAGACATTGTTGATCTCAGCTCCGCGTATCATTCCTTATGATCACAACTATTCAATTGAAAACAGTCCCTGGTTATTTCGTATACACAGTGATTTGTAAGTGTGTTCCTTCTGCTGGTGAAAGAGAATGTCTTTGGCATTTTCTTCCAGGGTGTCTTCTGGCCCAAGATCAAGGTGAATTAACTCATTTGAATAGAGTCAAAAGTTAGTGGTGTTGGGGATTTAGCTCAGTGGTAGAGTGCTTGCCTAGCAAGCGCAAGGCCCTAGGTTCGGTCCTCAGCTTAAAAAAAAAAAGTTAGTGTATGAGGAAATTCTTATATATAATAGGGATTTTGGGAAGCCCTGTTGTCTGTGCATTGGTGTGCATGTCGGGAGAAAGGTCTCACTTCATAGACAGGGCTGAGAATCTCAAAGTCCATTCTTTGGCAATTAAATATGTTTTACTGCCTGAGCCGTGAACCCATTTCTTCTCAGAATAAAAAGGGTGTGGGATGGTTATAGAGGGAGAGCTTAGAGAGCTGGGGGCAAACCCAGAAAATAAACCAGCAGTTTGGAGGATCGGGGTTCACTTGCGTAAGGTGGGGCAAAGTGACAAAGCGACCTGAGTTGGCCTGGGAGATCACGGGACCAGCGGAAGGCAGGAGTGCTGGAAGGGCAGGCCAGGAGGTCAGTTAAGTCATGCCAGTCCGAGGAAGCCTGGAGCTTTCTGGGGATTAAAGGATGTGGGACTCAGTGAGTGCTTCACTGGTTTGAACGAGACTCTCAGAATCAAAAGCCTGCACTTTGGACATGATGTCGTTTATACTGCTCGGAGTTCCTACAATGATTTCTTTCTTGTTTTTCCTCAAGTCCTTTTTTAATCAGCCTGACTTAGCTGGACTTTAGAGGGGGGAACCTTTTCATACTTATGCCAGAAAGAAGTGGAGAGAGTATTGACCCTTGAAGCGAGACTTGGTGGGGACCTTAGGGACCCCAATAAGAAAAAGCTGACGATGAAGTCAGGTCAGACTTTTTCGGAACCATGTGTCCTTCAGTCTCCATCCATGAGAAACTTCTTCCCAGAATTCCATCTGCTTATAACTTGGCGGATTCTGAGCTGGGATGAAGAAAGGACACAGTCCCTTTCATCATCACACCCTGTGTTTCTATGGAATTTTAACGGCCTCCTGGAAGCTCGGTGGAGTGACCTCAACTGATGTGGGGACTCCCAAGGAGAGGTCCCCGCCTACTGGACTTTGCCCAGCAAGGTGAATAACCTGGAAAGGTATGGTTGGTGCTGGGTGTGAGTGGAGGGAAGAGGAAGCTGGACTGGCCTTGGAAGTCCCCTTCTCAGGAGCTGAGATTCTCTGGAAGATAATAGGTGTTAGATCCCGGTGGTCACATCCTCCCCAGGCCCGCAGACACAGGTTCTGTTCTTTTCAAGGTTGTGAGTGAAAGTGAATGATGGTTCAGGAAACTGATAAGGGCCAACACGTTAGAAAAAAGGAAGGATGTGGGGGAAACCTGGGGCTGGAGGCCAAAGCACAATTAGCAGTTTGGGCTTCACTACATACAAAATATTCGTGCTAAGTATCCTTTCCAAGTGTCTTCTCATCTCGTCCCCTTGGAATAGAGACGATCCTGGCTGGGAAATCAGACAGGCCTGGGATTAACCTTTGTTATCTTCTGGCTGTAAGACTTTGAAAAAGTCACGTGATCTCTCTGAGCCTCAACTTCCTTATCTGCTTGTTGTGGGCAGTTGTTTTCTCTTTTGTGTGTTTGTAGATACAGGTTCTCATTTCGTAGGCCAGGCCTGCCTCGCACTTGAAATCCCCCTGCATCAGCCTCCAGGGTTCTAGGCATTTGACACAAAGGCTTTGTTGATTAACTTCCAAAACATAGTGTGAAGATAAAAAACACTTTCTCCCCGACCCTCTGATCTCCATAAATAAGCCACCCAGCTTTCTGCACACCTTCCCTTCTCTCTCTCTCTCTCTCTCTCTCTCTCTCTCTCTCTCTCTCTTCCTCTCCCTTCCTTTTTCTTTCTTTCTTCCTTTCTCTCTTCCTTCTTCTCTCTCTTTCTCCCCCTTCCTTCCTCTCCCTCCCTTCCTTTCTTTCTTTATGTTTTTGTTTAGTTTTTCATTTTTTGAGATAGAGTTTCTCTATGTGACAGCCTTTGTTGTCCTGGCACTCAGTCTGCAGTCCAGACTGGCCTCGAACCCACAGAGATCTGCCTGCCTCTGCCTCCTGAGTGCAGGAATTAAAGGCATGCACCACCATGCCTGGCCTCACCTTCCCTCTCTGCCAGCCGTGGCCTCTGTGCGGTGCATTTTCCCCTTTCCATATTCCCCTCCTCTGTTTCTCCAGGACAGAGACTGTTTTGCTGTGCTGAGATAGAGAAAGCTAAACAGAGGGTACCTAAGTGCTGGAGGATGCTCTGCTGACCAGTCGACAAGTCCACCCAGCACCTATACAGGAAAGGGCTGCCCTTCCAGAACTGAAGGGGCTGGAGGCCAATGTATTCGTTACATTTTTCACCATTGTTACTGAATACCTAATAGAAGTGATTTAAAGGAGGAAGGACTGGTTTGGGCTTGAGATTTGAGAGGGTGTTGTCCAGCATGGTGGGGAAGGCATGGTGGAGTTCATGGTGGTGGGAGCACACGTCTGGGACTCCTCACATCTTGACACATCAGCAAACAAAGAAAGCGGAGTGCTGGTACCACACTCTTCTGGGTTTCTTCTTTCCCCCCTTTCATTCAGGCTGGGCCTCCGGCTCGCAGGGCGATGCCACCCACATGCAGTGTAAGTCCTTTCTACTGAGTTAATCTCTCTGTAAACACCCTCATAGACATGCCCAGAGGTGTGTCTCCCCGAGGAATCAGTCAAGCTGACAGTGAAGATTAACCATTACAGCTGTCATGTGACAAGAGAGCTCAGAGGAAAGGGCTTCGACCTGTTTAGGGCCAACCTGTGGCAGTCCAACTTCCCTAGACAAACCTCACCCTTCCTAGACGGCCTTCTTCCTCCACCGATCCTCTAAACTGCCATGGAGTAGAAAGCCACGGAGTCAAGAGTAAAGGAAAGGGGCAAAAAAAAAAACAACAAAAAAAAAACCCATGCTGCTTCATCTTAAAAATTTTAAGCTCAAGTCCTGGTTCCATCTTTCTCTTTGTTTTTATTTTTATTTTTTTAAAAAGATTATATTTATTATGTATGCAGTGTTCTGTCAGCAGGCCAGAAGAGGGCGCCAGATCTCATTACAGATGGTTGTGAGCCACCATGAGGTTGCTGGGAATTGAACTCAGGACCTCTCTGGAAGAGCAGCCAGTGCTCTTAACCTCTGAGCCATCTCTTCAATCCCTTTTCTCTTTGTTTTCATTTGTTTGTTTGTTTAGTTGGTTGGTTGGTTTGGTTTTTGAGACAGGGTTTCTCTGTGTAGCCTTGGTTGTCCTGGAGCTTGCTCTGTAGACCTTGAACTCAGAGATCTGCCTGCCTCTGCCTCTTGAATGCTGGGGTTAAAGGCATGCGCCACCACTGCCTGGCTGGTTCCATCTTTCAATAGCTGGACAATGTCAGACAAATAGTAAAGCCTTTCTTTACTTATCTGTTAAACTGGAACAAAGAGGGGTAGTATTCAAAGCACTTAACACATGGTAAGGTATAGGCACTGGATTTCACAGCATAAACATCAGCTTTCTTTGAGGCAGAAAACAGTGTCCTAGAGTCTACATTGTCCCAGGGCTTGACTCTTTAGTTCTTGGGTCATGGGAGAAAGCCTGGAATGTCGGGAGAAGACTAAGAGACCAAGCTTGGGGGGGGGGTGGTTTCAGCCAATGGCCAGTAAAGCTGTACTATACTAGTTTCAACTCAGTATTGAGGACAGATTCTTACCTTACCAGCAACTGTACATCCAGATCTTTATTTCCACATGAAGTCCCTCAAATCTAAGTGATGAGGTTGAATTCATATTTAGTTTGATGACCCCAGGCTCTTTCCCAAGCTACTCTACTGTCTTCCCAGGGATACCCTCCTTCAGTTCATTTTATGCTTTGGGGGCTTGGGGTTAGGAAAGAGAAGCTTAGAAAGCCAACGAAAGAGGAAGGGGTCGGCCAGCACTGCTGGAGCTGTCCATGGTGCTGGTTCCTTAAGTAGACATGGAACTGGAAGCCCAGGAGAAGACTATGTGGGCAAGAAAGGAAGCTAAACCCAGCAGGGCCTCTGCCAATGGCGAGGATCAATAAGTGGAGACCTTAGATCTGAGGGACTTCCTGTTGAAATAAAGACATGACAGCTGGCTTCCTGTGGACATGAAAGTCCTCTTGGGCGAAGATAGGAAAAGAGTTCACTTGTGGTTGGTCCACAAGATTCTGTCTTCATTAGATTTTTTTTTTTAAAACCATGCCAGTTTGCATTATTTGGTGT